GCTGAGGACTGAGTAATTAAAATCTCCTGAAATAATCAGTCTGTCAAAAGAGATAACTGATCGAAAATCATGGAGCATTTGTGTTAGATTGCTAAAGAATGTTCGACGTTTTGCAGCAAGGCCTGCCGGTGCATAGACGTTCAGAACAAAGAAAGGTTCATAGAAATGATGTGGATGTTCAACCATGCATAGTTGAAATCGATCGGATGTAAAGGATGAGGAAGTGTCGATGATAGAGATGTTGTAATCGGTAGAGAAGGAGAGTATGCCCACATGACTGGTCCAATGGGACTGTGTAGGTTGAAAGAGGATGTTGAGGTTATCTATAGTTGAAGGAGTGGAAGCATGAGTTTCTTGAAAGCATAATATAGAGAAATTCTGCATTCGAAGGTATCGTATATATTCTTTTTGTATTTTTTTGGAGTTTGTTTTCACTAAACTATTGGCGTTTAGTGAGGCATAGTGGCACAGGATATTTTTCTTATTCATTGATGCGGATCTATAAAGGGTGACTCTCTACCCTCTGATTATCAGAGGCAGAAGAGGGTATCGTAGATTTCTTCGTGTCCAATTGTTGGTTCAAATTTGATCCATTACGTCTTTCTCCTTTCTTCATAACGAGGTGATCTTTTAATTGTTGGCTGACGCTGTACATCTTGGTATCCTTATAGAGGTCTTCAATCTCCATCCTGTCAATATCCTCGTCTCCACTTTCTATTTCAGATTCATCTTCTTCCATGCTCTCTTTATCTAAAGGGTCGTAATCACTATCGCTAGTATCGTTATCATTATCTTTGTCGACATTGATCTCTGTCTGGCCAAAGTTGCTACTTTTGACTTCAATACTGCTTTGCCCTTCAGGCTTGGATGCTTCTTTTCTTGGTTGGGTGGCCTTTCCAAGAACTGATCTTTCTCTCTTTGAACGCTTGCTGGGTGTCATAGACTGTTTCCTAGGACATTCAAACGAGCGGTGTCCTAATTGATGGCACGCATAACATATAATTCTAGCTTTCGACTTCTCACATTCAAATTTTGTGTGTCCAGTTTGGTGGCAATACCTGCACCAAGTGGGCATGTTGTTCCAGGTTGCGTGAAATATTTGGCTTTCGCTTTCGCACCAACGAATGTTATGCTCCAAAGGCTGATACTTGAGGTTGTCTGTTGAGTCTGAGGGACCAGAAGGAATACCAATGACGGCATATCCTGCGCCCATAAACCATCCGGTGGTGGTTTCTGTATTGATTCCTACATCAATTACCTTTCCAAATGGAGCTAAACTCTGTTGCACGCCCTCAAGAACTATCCTTTTGGGACGTAAAGGTAATTGGGACAATTTCACAGTAACAAATCGGAGTGTGGCATCTGCGGCCTTGCAAGGGAAAATTCGCAATTTTGACTTTTTAAAGACAACACCATGCTCCATAAGATCATTGTCATCATCATCTTTTTCGATATACAATTCCAAGTACTGAGTTGGGCCATCCCTCAAGATGGAACAAGCGTAGATCTTTGGGTGTTGAGCGCTGATTTCCTGCATACACTGGAGATCAGTGTATTCTTTCTTAACTGGAGTAATGTCGAGTAAGAAAGCATCCTCATGGCTAGCTACTCGATAAATTCTCGACTGAAATTCTCGCAAAGGTGAGTCTGCATCTTTGTCAGGTTCAACGATGCCTTGGTGCATGAGTGATACTCGAGTTCTAGCTGCTACACTAGCATATGATCTTAGTTGTTGGGTGGCTTTTAGGTTTGGAGATTTTTCAATCCCCGCAACCGACTGAAAGTGTTGAGAGTTGGGAAGAGCCATGTAAGTACATAAGTGGCATACTTGTAAGTCGGTATGAATGCTAACGGAGTTTGAAAATACATGTGTATTTTCTTGCATTCATGAGAAGTTCCTGACATCCACGGCTATTACCGTGATCTTTTATGGCTCTACCTCTGCTTCCTGTAGACATACCGAAAATTATAGTGATTCCTTAATTTTCCGTATTTTTGATCTGTGCTGGTGTTGATCATACACGCCTTACTATTGACGAGTCGTACAAATAGTCCCAATTCATGAGAAGGGCAACTCGACTGACCCAGTCAGCTACTGACTAATTAGTCTGACTACTATTTCCGGAAAAAACAATCGAAAAATGCATCAAAGAACTTCTCCAAGACCAAGTATCGTCCTTAGACACTGCCCAAGGTGGCTTTAGAGAACGCAAAAGTGTCCTTGACCAAGCTCTTTGTCTTTCAGAAATTCGTAAGTTTTTTTTTTTTTCACAACAATACTCAAGAACATTAGCTCTGTACTTTATTGGAGTACCAGATGGACCTCTATACATTTGCTTCTATCCCAAATCACCTCTATGTAACATACTACCACAAACAATCTACTTCTTCCAACATCCAACCAAATGTTTCTATTTCTTCTCTGGTTACAAACTCACGCCCAGACACACCATTAGATCAGCGCTCTTCTCTCCATTCCTTTTTTGCCCCTATTCTCTTAAGGTGGTTTTTTTTTTAGCTTAGTAAAGCCATTCATTTTTATAAATTGATCGAGTCTGAACAATCGAAGGCCACATTGGACTATGTGTTCAAAAGGATCTTTTCTACAAAATCAATAAACTAGCAATCTTTAAGTATGAGTTTCAAAAAATTAACAACAGTGTGCAAGTATGTTATTTGTGCCAACCGAAATACATTTCTGGAAGATAACTACTTTTAGATTTGAAAAAAATATATATATATATATTCTCGTCACAGCGTAAGCGATTGTATTTTTCTTCGATATTTGAGTAAAGATTTAGCCAGAATCTTCCATTGCTTCTGCTGTAATGTCTTTAACTTTAAAAGAATTAAATATAAAAAGAAATTGTGATAAAAATTACCATTGTAAGATAATGTTCAATTAAAGATTTATGGTTCGATTACTTGATAATGCTCCTTATAAAATAAAGATAATGTTCATAGAGGACTTATAGCTACGCTTGATAATGTTCCTTATAATATAAAGATAATGCTCTTTGTAGATCAAAGATAGTGTTCAAATATGGATTCGAAAATAAAAATAAAAGGAAAATAAGATGTTAACAAGTATGTTTCGGGAAGGAAGCCCAAAGATAAAAATAGAATCATCTAGTTAATTTGGATGATCTTGATGTTGAATTGACTTCCTCTTTATTTCTGAAAAATAAGGAAGTATTTATAATAAAATTGTGTGTTTGCACTATGTGAAAAGATAAAGAGTATGTGGTATTTTACACTGCTTTGATTTCAAACTCCGTGAACACCCAAATTATCTATCCTCCACTTTTGTGACTTGCCTACAAAAATTTGATTTCAGTTCCACTGGCCACCTTCACCCCTTGTCTTCTTTATTTACAACATGAACCGTTCTATTCTTACAAGTATACGTACATATGCAACAAAGAGCAAAACAACAAACTTAAGATACAAACCAAGTGTGCCTGTACATGAAACAGCATTTTCTGATGGCTTTGCCTTTATCGAACGTCAACCTATTGTTCAACCTACCACTCAAGCTCATGTAGCTCCTCTTTTGCACAAGGCAACACCTAAACAAAAATTATCAGAAGCAGAGATTAACGAGCTGCGTCAGTTAAGAGAATCTGATCCTATCAGTTGGACAAGATCTAAATTAGCCAAGAAGTTTGGTTGTTCTGAATTATTTATCAGTATGGCTGCACCTCTTAAATCACCTATTGCCGCCAAAGATCAAACTGCTTCTGTTGCAAAGCACGGTTATAGACGTAAATTGATCACACAAGAAAGAGAAAACAGACGAGCTCTTTGGTAGAAAGAGAAGGAAGGAGTTTTTTTTTTGGTGTATAATTAGTTTTGATATATACGGTTGCATACATAAAGTAATAAAACATTTTGTAATATATGATTTCTTTGTTATGCAAGGATGTTTAAAATGATGTGTGTGTGTGTGTGTGTGTGTGTGTGTGGTTTGGACGTGGATTAAAGGTCAGTAATATTGAGTATAAAAGAAGAATACGCGTTTTTTTTTTCTTTTTACTTTCTTTCTTTCTCTTTATTGACCATGGCCCAAAAGAAAGCAACATGTTATATACTCAACGCCTCTCATTCCATGTCCTTTGAGTTTCCGACTGCCTGTAAGACTTTAATGGAGAACATTGAAGACAAAGTATGATATTCTTATTTGCTTTTGAGTGTGTTTATATATTTCAAAGTAGGTCCTTAGCGGTAGAAAGACAGATATGGTCTCTGTTATTTTGGCAGGCACACCTGGTAAACAAAAATAGGCTAACATAAAAAAAAAGAGAGAGATTTATTGTTGAATGCAATAGAGACTGACAACATATTGGCAAACGAAACACCTGGTCAATATGAACATGTTACTAGTTTATGTCCTATCTCACAGCCCAATCTGGATTTGTTAAGACGACTAAGAAATATTCAGCCTACAACAGATACAGAAATAAAAGCAGATGGTATATATCGAATAAAAGCAATAATTATTTTCTTTTGTTCATTTATGCCTTTTTAGTGCTTGATGCTGTGATTGTTGCGATTCAGACAATTACTCTGCATTGTAGAAACCTAAAATATTTGAAGAGAATCACACTGTTTACAGACGCAAAAGGAGATATTGACTGGTTTGATCTAGAAGAAGTGGGTAAAATGCTCAAATCAAATGATATTGGATTGACAGTCATGTAAGTTCATTGTGTGTTGGTGATGGATTTCAAACAAAATTTGACAGCGGCTCAGACTATGGCTTATATGATTCACCTGACTGTCCAGAGACTATTAGCCAAAATTACAAAAACTGGACTATCATGGCCAATGAATCAAATGAAGGTGAAGTGATGAGTCTACAGGAAGCCTATGAGATCACCCAAGAGGATTATGCAAAAGAGATCCGCCCTACACCAGTCTATCGAGACTATCTTTATTTAGGTGATCCTCAGCATAATACAGAGTTCTTGGCTATTAGTATCAATATGTATTTGCGCACAAAAGAAGTCAAACCACCTTCTAGTACGAAATGGTCTGCTTTAAGTCAAGGTGGCACCCATACTGTTGAAAAGGACTCTAGATATTTACTTGATGTACCTACTCAACAAGATGCTATGGATATGCCAATGGATACTGAAGAAAAAGAAGTAGGAAAAGAAGATTTAGAAAAGGCATATAAGTTTGGTAAATCAGTAGTCAAGATATCAGAAGAAGAACTAGAGTTTCATCAATACAAATCAAAGAAAGAGATGACCATTCTTGGTTTTGTACCTGCAACTACGTTTCCTCGTCATTATTTGTATGCCAATGCTAATATTATTACTGCTGGCAGTCTTCAGGTGGCTGAGAGTACAAAGGCTTTGAGTGCATTAGCTTATGCTCTGTATGAAAAAGATTGTCTGGCTCTTGTTCGTTATGTGTCTAAAGAAAATGGTTATCCTAGAATTGGTGTCTTGAGACCTGAATTAGTTGTAGGATCAGATGAAATGCCAGATACTTTACTTTTGCAGTTCTTTGATGTAAGTATAACTATAAATGATATGTATCTTAATGCCTTGGTAGATTCCATATGCAGAAGATATTCGTGACTATAAATTCAAAGCAATTAAAGACCCAGATAATGTAGATCCAAAAGGAATAAACATGATGGAAGACTTGGTTAATTCAATGAATCTAGATCAACTAGGGTAAGAATAAGGCAGTTATTGTGTCTGTATTCACTGGTTTATAGAAAAGATTATTTACAGCCTGAAGACAACTTTAATCCCATCAACTGGCGTTTTAACAAGGCCATCAAAAACCGTGCACTTAATCCTAATGCTCCTATACCAGACATTAAAGAAGCTCATAAAAAGCAATTTGAGATTGCACCTGAATTAAAAGAGAAAGCAGGTAATTTGGGACAGCAAATTTCCGAGTATTATCAGATTAAGAAAGGTATGTCTATACGCAAAAAAAAAAAAAAAAAAAAAAAAAAAAAAAAAAAAAAGACTGTATCTGATCTATCATTAGTTGCTGAGAAGACAAAGCCAAAAAGACAGTTTCAAGATATGGGTGAGACAGAACAACAAGTTGCCAATATCCAAGATATTCTTCAATATGCCAATTCAAATGATATGGATATTGTCTCTCAAACGACGAACACTGTTGAAGAAGTAGGCTTAATTACACCTATTGAAGATTTCCGCGCTTTGCTCAACAAGCCATCGAATGTGGATATGGTTGGTTCTGCCACTAAGCAAATGACGCAGGTCATTATGAAACTACTTGAGATCTCATTTGGCAATCAAAATTATTCTAAAGCTATTCGTTGCCTACAAGCACTTCGAGAGACATGTACAAAGGTAAATGATGTCTATATTAATACGGCCAACAACTATTGTGTAGGAAGATGCTGCCATGGTATATAATAACCATGCTCGAGAATTAAAGGTCTGGTGTAATCTGTCCAATGCATCCTCTCCTCGCCGTGAATTCTGGTATATGCTCAAGGCTGAACACTTGGGTTTAATTACCAATGAAGAATGCGATGACACAGACATTATTGACATAACAAAGCAAGTTGCTGAACAATTCTGGGATGAGCATGAAGATGATATTCTTCATAAAAAAGAACAAGGAGAAGAAGAAGTTGTCAAGTTTGATGCAGATGAATTGGTATATAACACTCTACTAAACTTGCTTTCACTCATTCTTTTATAGGAGGACATGTTTTAAGTTTTTTTTTAGGGGGAGAAATAAGTATACAGTCACAATAAAAAAAATAGTTGTATTCGTTGTTCTTTAACATGGAGAATCTAGTAGCATCAGACAGTAACAAAGCCATATTTTGTGTTGAATGCAACGATCAAGAAGTATGTTTATTCTTTCTTGGTTTTCTCTAAAAAAAAATTGATGATTAGGCATCCGTCTTTTGTGAGCAATGTGACGAAGACTTTTGTGAAGTCTGTCATGGTGGGACTTGTGTTTGAAGAAGTTTAGAAAGACTCATCCCTAACTAGGCATGCTTCATCGTACGGGAACTCGAAAGCTTCATACTGCCAAACAACTCGACTCACGTGTCAAGAACTCTCAGACTGATATTCAAGACACCTCAGTTCTTAATACAACAACAGAAAAGGCAAGTGAACATTTCGTTATGCAAGCTGTTAACTCAACTATCCTACAGAACGGGCAGCAGAAAGAGATTACAGCTATGAAGCAAGCTATAGAATTGGACGGTACTATTATCAGCAGCAGTGGTGTTACGTTTGGTGATTACATGACAAAAAGGTAAAATAAAAGAATTATTTGTATTACTCATCCTACTGTCAAGATCAAAGACTATACCTCTACGTTTAGATGCAGAAGAAAGACAATACCTTCGATTGTGAGTTTTTGAAATAGATGTAGACAATAATAACATAACTTAGATTGGAAGCAGCATTAAATGTATCTGAATATACTGATAAGATTGATGTTATTTCGTATTCAAACAAGGCAAAGAGAATTGTTGGACAAATCAGAGACTTGTGCGCTATTATTTCAGGTCTACTGGTTGCCGGTGATTATAAGACAGGTGCACAGTTGTTTGCTAGTAGAAGTGTACGTGAAAATGAAGCTATTTTTCAGCGTGTGTTTGAAGTAGGCAGACGGTAAGTTCACTCTCCTTTAAAACGCAAAAAAAGAAAAAGAAAAAAGCTCATATTGAATTAGCCATAAAATCATGAACCCTGAAAAAATGCGATCCAACTATGGTAAATTAATGCATATGTTGATGGATTCAGTTATTCCTGAAGTGGAAGACTATCTTGGGTTTTCTTGTGTGATACCTATCAAGACAGTCTATGACTTCCTTAAAAGCAGGGATAGTATAGATGTATTGCATGATGATAGCATTGTGTTGGCCACCCGAGAAATAGCACCCGAGTTTAAGACAAGAGCACAGATCGATGCTGAAGTACAGAGAAAGCAATTGGCTATCCAGTCTATATGTGAAAAATATGCCAATGAGAGGGTCAGCAAAGAAGAAATCGAGCGCTGCTTATTGTCCATGTCAGATAACAATGCTTTTTTAAAAGCAAATAGGTAATGCACATCGATACATAATTCAGAGAAAACTAACAAACTTAAAAAAAAGAGATCCTTGTGATAAAATTCTTAAATATCTCTCTAAATACTTTACACCCAACAAACATGATCATGGTTATTCGCTAGCTATTCAAAATGGTAGACATGGACATCGCCTTACACACTCTCATTCAGCTCAATACACATATGTACATCAATCCTTGACATTATGGCGTGAAATCATGAACGAAATGTTTATGTTATGGAGTATGGCTGATGAAGATTTGATTTCACCCAATGCTTATCGTCTGACAAACACCGGTCAAGGTTTACAGAGAATCCAGCCTTGTCCTAATGTATCCAAAGCTATCCACAAAATTTTGAATAGAGTACACAAGAAATGCGGATCCTGGGTCGGCAGTAGTGTAGTCCATTTGGGTGACAAGAATGTACCTAATTCGTTTATGTTCATTGATAAAGTAAGTCATGAGCTCATACTTTTATAAACTAAAAAAAAAAAAAAAAAAAAAAAAAAAAAAAAAAAAAAAAAAAAAAACGTTAGTATAATCAAGTAGCACGCATTTTGACACCCATTGTGAGCACTCTGGATAATTTGGATTCCTTTGAAAATGACCCTGACCTTGTAGACTATGTTAATAGTGCCTATGGCAGCATTGAACAATGCAAGAAGGATATTTTATGTAAGTTCATATCTATTTGTTTGTTCTTACTTATACTCTTTTTAAGATGACTTGTTTACGCATGGTTTTGATGGCTCAGGAGGTGATAATTACTTTGATGCAGGCAGTTGTATAGACGGTAGATTAACTTCAGCTTGGAACTGTAAGTATCTATATTTTGTATCCATATCATGACGCTTTTTTTTTCCAGGGTGTTCAACCATTGAGAAGAAAAAGTTTTTTCCTATATTTCTGATGACAGTAAGTTTATAGGAGAAGCAAAGAGAGAAGGGGTGGGAAAACTGATTCTTTTCTTTGTCTCTAGGGTTTTACTGGATTTGATGGAAGTGAATGGTAAACAACATAATAAAGACAATGATGGACATGATAAATGAGAGTCTTATTTATTTCTTGAGTATCAGCATGTCGATCCTGTTGCCGAGTTTTTGGTAGTATTGGGAAAGGAAGGGAGATGTATTATGACGTATGGTGAACAGCCATTTGTTTTGCAATGTGCATGGACAATTCTATTTCAATTTTTAAGGAGTAAAACTACAAACAAATGGGGTAGTGACATGCAATTAGCTACTTTTCATGATGAAGAAAAGATCAGCGTCATTTTTTTCCCTTTTTTCTATCTGTGGGTATATGCATGTATTGTCTTTGTCCTCCTTCTGCCGTAAACACATACTCCTGATACACCCCTCTCTTACCCCCCCCTTTATTTACTTGGCAATGTACATCTATGTAGAAGAGAAACAGAATTAGTTAATCAAGATAAGCATGTTTATAGTATACAATAGAAAAAGATATAAAACTATAGCGAGTTGCATAAAAGTAAAATGATCATGCACAAGAAAAAGGAAAAAAGAAAAGAAAGACATTTTAAGTTTATTTGTGTCCTTGTACCCAACCATTGGATCCGAAAATTTTGTTTGAAAGAAATAGCTTAAATGTTTTTTTTTTTTTTTTTTTTTTTTTTGCATCTTCAACCCCTTTCTTGTACTTGCCAATGAAAACAAATGACTAATGAACCCCTTTTATGTAGATGTTATATTCCAAAAAAGAAAGAACGAGAGATATTTGACAAATTGCTCTCATGTTTGCAGCACAAGTAGTTGTTTTTATAGAATGAAAAAGGAAAGAAAAATCAAATGTGAACTTCTAGAATAATCAGAATAAACTCCGAAATGCGTTCAGTAGAAGTGATATACATTATCCCAACATAAATAGATGACTCCTTGTAAAGATGCTTTGCCTTAAACCTTTGACTCTTATGGTGTCATTTCTCGCTTTTTTTTTCTTCTTTTTTTTTAATGGGCTATTAGAAATAGAAAAAAAACCCCCTTTATGTCTACATGTTCTCGCTCCCTTTGCCCTTTTTATTCCATATCCCCTAAAGACAATTATATATTAGTATCACATACATGCTCAAAAACATCTATAACCCTTAATTTCAATAGTGTTCAAATATAAATATATACACTAATTAGCTTCTCTTTGATTTTTTTTTCTTTTTCTTCTTTCTCTTTTAATATATAAGGTGTGGCAATAAACTTACATGCAACAAGAAGCAATGATGACAACAGCACATAACTTTCTCAAAACAAACTATTTTAATGCTCAACTGCAAGAACAACAAGAACAAGAACCTTCCTTTATTTCGGATAGTCCGTATGAAACACTGATCTACTCACCTTCTTTGCGTCAGTTTCATGATAACCGGCATGCAAGGAATGCTACTTATTCACCCTTGTCTTCTGTTTCGCCGTTTGATTCTAGTTCTATCTTTATTTCACAAGGCATCAATGATTGTTCACAAACAGAAAGAGATTTTGACAAGTCACCAAGGTATTTTTTTTTGCATTGTTTTTTTTCTTTTCTGGTGGCAATCAATCAATAAAAAAAATTGAGAAGAGGGGGTCAGGGAGTGTAAGGGATATTTAGAAGAGGGGTATAGTACGAAGTCAACAAAATAGAGACTAAAAGGGATATATATTTATCGCTCTAAATATAAGTTGCATACTAACAGTCTTTTCTTTATGCTTTCTTTAGGAGACTACGCTTTGAAGTCATACTTGAAGGTAATTTACAAAAAAATCTGAATGCATAAACTCATTTATTTATAGCTGCCACAGCTGTCACTCAAAAAGCAGAAGAATCAACCATCACTTATCTAAACCGTGGCCAAACATATGGTATTCAACTAACTGATAAACAAGCACAAAATGAAATTATCACAAGCACGATATCCATCGATTTTCATTCCTCTTCACATCGCTGTATTGCTGAAAATTATTGGAAATATTGGATAAGCCAACAAAAGCAACCTGATCCTAGAGCGATCGATATTGGTAGTAAATGAACTTGGGATTTCTTATTTTCTAATACTTTAAAGATTAGATGCAAGCCAATCAACCGGAATCACAGAGCTAAGCTTTCCTAGTTTTGACAAGATTATGTTCAACTGGAATGGTAGTCATGGTGCAAAAATCTTTGTTCGTTTTCGATGTTTATCGACAGATTTTTCAAGGATCAAAGGTGTAAAGGGTATTCCTTTAAGAGCTCAAATGGAAAGCACTGTATCTGGAGAAACAATTTTGGGAAAGACAAAACTAAGCGAGACCTGTTTTTGTAAAGTTAAACTGTTTAGGGACAAAGGAGCCGAACGAAAAAACAAGGACGATGCCAAACAGATTTCGAAACAACTAGAGAAAGTCTATGGTAAGTTACTAGCTGCGTATATTCTGAAACGAGAACTCATAATTTTTTTTGATTTAGGTAAAGCAAGCGAACAGTCTCTTCCTTTAATGTATAATGTGTCCTTGCCTTATTCTGTTTTTGGTGAAATACCTTTGAGTTCTTCTACTGACTCATTTGAAACAATTGCTGATTTTCCTACTTCACAACAAAAGAAATCAGCCAGATATCATACACGCATCATGACTGCACCTAATCCTTCTTTCTTTCGCGACCAGGCTCAAGATCAGAAAAAGAAACATCAAGACAGTTACGCTAGTAAAACAAAAGACAATTATGACTTCTATGACTATCTTCATCAACAACAGAAAGCAATCACTTCATTGCCTGCCCTCAATACAAACAATTTATCTTACCATCAGCATGATTTATTGGAGGAAAGTCAGCCCTTGATTCTTGGTACTTCGCCTTTGGATGATGATTTGCCACCTCTCACGGCAGACACACTTTACACCCCAGGCACCATGCAAGTCACACCCATGGATTACTCATTCGGACAAGATATGATGATCCAACAGCCTTCAAAATCGATTTATGATGTATTCACGCCAGAAGAAATCCAACAACCTCAAGAAACATTTATTCCTCAAACATCGGATTACTTTTACAATAACCAAACTACCTCTAATCAACCCAATATCACTTTGTTACAACAACAGCTTCATCTTCATAATCAAGTAGCCAGTAATATCATTTTGAACAGTAACGCTGTTTCGGATATGTTACTCTTATCTTCTTCATCCTCTATGAAAAAAAGAAAAAGTAGCTATGAAAGCTTAAAAGCAACATCTTTACCGACACCTTCTATTTCTGATAAAGAGCACGAAGCAAACAAGAAGCGTCGATGCAGTACTTGATGTCTATGTGTATAATAAAACAAAATAAAAAAACTGCATGCTATGATCACTTTCCATTTTTGAATTTATTCTGCTGTGTCAAGGATAGACTTCTAAATAAGGAATTTTGCTATGACAGATCTTTTTTCCTACGAGTTCAACATAGTTTAATAGTTATTGGCATGTGATAAACGATTGAGTGGGGGGGGGGGGGGAAAGAAAGAAAACGATTCCCCTAATACAGACGCATATATGCTAAAAACAGTATTTAATGCAGCTGCTTTTTTCTTTCCTTTTGTCTTTCTTTCTCATTCATGTCTCAAATCACTCATTCAAATCCCTTTTATCGTTATCTTGGTGGTGCTACTACAGCTGGTATAGCTATACTTGCTCTTGTTTATAATGATCGTGCCGTATTTGATTCAGCTCGAGAAGGTATCAAGACACAGCCTGGTTGGCCGCTTATTGGTAATCTTTCTCTTTTGATCCAACACAAAAACAAAATTCATGACTTTTTACTGGCTGGATTTAATCAATTGGATGAACTTACAATGTAAGGTTGATGTATAGTGGTAGCATGCTAAAGTCTTTTTTTCAGCACAATGTCTGCATTAGGTATTCCAAGACACATTGCTACTCTAGATCCTCGTAATGTGGAACATATTCTAAAGAGTAATTTTGAGTCTTATATCAAAGGACCAGAGTTTCATGCATCTCTAAGTGATTTATTTGGCAATGGTATATTTAATGCCAATGGTGAAGATTGGAAATACCAGCGCAAGACAGCTAGTCATGTATTCAATGTGAAGAATTTTCGAGATCATTTCACAGAGTAAGTACAATAAACAACAGTACCACATACTAATTCAACTCTAGTGTGTTTGTAGAAGAAATTGACTATATGTCAAAGCATATATGGGACAAAGCAGCTGAAAACACCGAGGTGGTCGATTTCCATGATATTATGTTTAAATTCACACTTGACTCCTTTATTCTTTTAGGATTTGGTGTTCAATTAAATGCTTTAGCATCCAAAAAAAAAGTGCCATTTGCTGTTGCTTTTGATGAAGCACAAAAGACTACTTTTCAGCGTTTCGTGAATCCTGTCTGGACTGTTACTGAGCGATTGTCAAGGCTAGTGATGCCATGGAGACCAAGTATGAATGACCATTTGCATGTTGTGGATCAATTTGCTTGCCAAGTGATTGAGAAACGACGTGTAGAAATGGCTCAAAATATCGAGTTCCGAGATTTACTTTCTCGCTTTATGCATGCAAGAAATGCTCAAGGTGAACTTTTGAATAATGACGAACTCAGAGACATTGTGTTGAACTTTGTGATTGCTGGTCGTGATACAACTGCACAAGCACTTTCATGGACCTTTTATATGTTACTATGTCATCCTCGTATTGAAGAGAAGCTATTGCAAGAAATAAGCACTGTTCCTGATCAAGTTATGCATGATTCACCAGCTCTTTATTCAGTTGTCAAGGACTTGAAGTATGCTCATGCCGTGTTTTACGAAGTATTACGATTGTACCCTTCTGTGCCTTTGAATCAGAAGTATGCATTACAAGACGATATCTGGCCTGATGGTACGCATATTAAAAAGGGAGATTATGTCTTGTGGTGTCCGTATGCTCAAGGTCGCTGTGAGAAAGTGTGGGGACAAGATGCTCAAGAATTTCGCCCTGAGAGATGGTTAGATGAACAAGGCGAGCTACGACGAGAAAGTCAAGGGCAATGGCCTGCTTTTCATGCTGGTCCAAGAGTGTGTCTCGGGCAGAATTTGGCGACTTTGGAAGCGTTGATTGCTATTGTCTTCTTGCTCAAGAGATACAAGTTTAGTTTAGTGAGTGGACAGAATATTACATATCAAGTCTCGTTGACTTTACCTATGCTTCATGGCATGAAAGTCATGGTACAGAAGAGAGAATAAGCTAGTCATTTTAATAAACAATACAATCATTTGTCAATTGCCAGACTCTTCAAAATATAAGCCTGTGCAGCACATATTCAAGCAGATGTAGCTGAGATAAAAATTGCTAGGCCTACAAGCGTATTCAATTGGTCATTTTTTATTGGTTTTTTTTATCTCCCTTTTCACTTTCTATACAGATGGTAAACCTGATAAAGAATGCAACCAACTAAATTAGCAGCTTCGTTTTATTTTAGTTCAGAACCGCCAAGGCAAGACGAGATTAGCAAAATGGTATGTGCCTTATGAAGATGAAGAGAAAGTCAAGCTTAAGGGAGAAGTGCACCGTTTGGTTGCACCTCGAGACCAAAAACACCAAAGTAATTTTGTGGAGGTAAGTCTCCTTAAGTGGTGAATGCCTTGTTTATACGTTGCTAGTACCGTAATTACAAAATTGTGTATCGTCGATACGCTGGTCTGTTCTTTTGCGTCTGTGTAGATGCGAACGATAATGAACTGTCTTATTTGGAAGCCATTCATTTCTTTGTCGAAGTATTAGATGCATTTTTTGGTAATGTGTGTGAATTAGACTTGGTTTTCAATTTCTACAAGGTAAAGAAAAATATAGTTTTGAATGCATGATAAGTAACATTTTCAGGTCTATGCTATTCTGGATGAAGTCTTTTTGGCAGGAGAAATTGAAGAAACAAGCAAAAATGTTGTTTTAACGCGGTTGGACCATTTGGACAAATTAGAATAAAGTTTAGTATACCCTCCACTATCTTTTGAGTTTCAAAGGCATGTTCCAAATGCCATTTCTCACTTTCCAGGGTTTTTTGTGCCACCATAAAAATCTGTTCTCTGATTTTTTCCCATATCATCTTTTCTTCTTTTTTCTTCTTCATACTATGTCTGTTTATAATCATAGACCTATTGCTCCCTCAAACCAGACGCGTTTATTGGAGTTACTAGAGGCTGTTAAGGTTGAATATGACCAACTAAGTCAAGACGCTCAGTTAGCAAAGAGTCAAAGAGACGAATATGAACACAAAGGTAGACTATATACGTATAGCTTACTCTCACATATGTTGCAGTCAACAGCCAAATACAAGAAATGACCATATTTCAACAAACGCTATTGGACTTAGAAAGAACACAACAAGTATTGAAAAAGCAGTATGTTTTAAAATCAACAAACGCATAAATTAATCCAATTAGATATGAGGAAGAAGTTGCTCGATTAAGACAACAACTGGATCAAATGCAACATGGCGCATTTCCCTCTGTATCACCCTCAAAAGATATCAAGCCATCACCTCCAGCACTTACCTCCAGCTCTCCTTTAGTTAATGTGCCTCATTTTGCTCCACCGAGCCGAGTTGCTGGCAAAAAATCTCAACCCGCTTTATCAGTCCAAACAACTGTACCCTTACATGATATTGATCCTGATACGTTACCTGCTAATATGAAAGTGGAAGGACAAGACTGGTTTGCATTATTCAACCCAAAAGCAACCCGATACCTTAATGTAAGCCTTGTTCATTCATTAGAACATGACAGTGTGGTTTGTTGTGTCAAGTTCAGTTTGGATGGTCGACTTCTAGCCGCTGGTTGTAATCAAGCAACTTATATCTATAATACCATGCTTTCTACTCGGGTGGCGTAAGTTGTATTATCATAGAAAGTTGCTTACTTTATGCAGTGTTCTTCGAGACGAAACAGCTGGTAGAGATGGCGACTTGTACATTCGATCTGTTAGTTTTAGCCCAGATGGAAAGTATTTAGCCACAGGTGCGGAAGACAGAAAGATTAGAGCAAGTATTTATGTGTACAAGCTGTATGATATATTTACCATTGTATAGATTTGGGAAATCGCAAAACCACATATTCGTTGTGTCTTGCAAGGCCATGAACAAGATATTTATTCACTTGAATTTAGTCGAGATGGACGTATTCTTGTCTCTGGCTCTGGTGACCGCACCACACGTATCTGGGACTGGATGGAATCCACCTGCTTACATGTCTTGCGTATCAATGAAGTGGATCAAAGCGATCCTGGTGTGACAAGTATTGCTATCTCACCTGACAGTCGATTGATTGCAACAGGTAGTCTAGACAAAATTATTCGTGTATGGGATGCTATGAACGGCCAGTTATTGGAGCGACTAGAAGGCCACAAAGACAGTGTGTACTCTGTGGCTTTTATGCCGGATGGAAAGACGTTAGTCAGTGGTAGTTTAGATAAAACATTGCGGTTATGGCAACTAGGAAACTCAAAACGACCTTGTATTCAAGTTTTTTCGGGACACAAGGATTTTGTCTTGTCAGTTGCTACTACGCCGGATGATCGCTGGATTATCTCGGGCTCAAAAGACAGAAGCGTACAATTCTGGGATCCACGAACAGGACAAACTCAGTTTATGTTGCAAGGACACAAGAATTCAGGTAAAGTCATAGTTCTTCATAGTTTATATATATATATATATATATTTATATATATATATTCATCTTAAACACAGTGATATCTGTGGCCACAAGTCCCGGTAGAAGACCTTTGTTTGCTACAGGGTCAGGTGATAATCGTGCTCGAATTTGGCGCTATGATCCTTATTCTACTCCTTCATCTTGATCTATTCGAAATGGTATCGTAATGGAGAAATTGTATTGGCTCTTTGAGCCGTACCTTTCTTTTATATTCGTAGTTCAAAATGTTATGCACTGACCGAAATAAAAATTAGTCCAGTTTTTTTGTCATTCGAAATCAACATCAAAGGTATCATGATCCAAGAGCCCTTTAATATGCCAAGATGATGCATAAACGCGCTCAGTTTTTTGTGTATGATTTGTTGAGATATTTGTTTTAAAATAATATAGTTTGGTGCTTGGTAGTACAGTCAGACCCCGATTTTATCATGAAGGTTGTCTTTACCGACTTACGGTATACTGGTGATATTCCTAATGGCGAGCCCTGTCATTGGAATACGATTTGCCAAATTCCATATGACAAAATCGAATTTTTGAAAGAATATTATTGGATAAGATTTGCAAAAAGTTGCTTTCGTTTGAGAGAAAGCCAGTGGCTTACAGCGTCTTCATACATCTTTTTCAAAGATCCAAGAAAAAAATCTCAACCCGCTTGAATGTAAGAGCCAACAAACATTATTGTAGAATGACATATATGATAAAATCAATAAAAGCCCCATGAGCCTCTATCTTAAATGTCTCGTTCACAAAAAGTATTATATGATATACAGGGATAAATAGTTGCAAATTAATATACCTCAGGACAATTACGATTAATGCCACCTGAACTAATGAAACCATTGTAGCACTGACTATGAATTTGAAAGGTACACAATAATTTCTATGCTTGAATTGAAAGGTCGTCTCTAGTCAACAATTATGATCAAATCCAATACATTGAAACCCATACTCACCTTTATTCTCAGTTGACAGCAATTCTTATAAATAGTACGTTGATTTGTGTTTATTGGACTTTAGATTTCTTTTTGAACAATAAAAGGATAGCAAACGTTTTAAAAAGTATTTCTTTTTTTATTCTTTCCTGAAATACAACGAGCATACTCAAAAACATAAAAGAGCAAGACCTATTTCTCATTCAATCTTCGCTTTAAATTGATTTGTACTCTTTAACGAATAAAAAAAAAGCTGAACAAAAAGGTTTTTCGATGAAATTTATACAGTTTTTACACTTGAAATTCAGAAGATGTTGGTTTCTTCTAGACGAATCAAAATTAATCTTTAAACTTTTAGATTACCTTTTTTGGACAAAATGGAAAAGGAAATTATAAGTTACTTCCTCTTAAATAACGATGCAGGATGATTATTAGCAGAGAGGTGAACACAAAAATTTGGATACACGTCAAATCATACTTTTAGTTGCTCAGGCTTTTTTTTTTCTGAGCAAAGTATGTTTGTATTTTTCAGGTACTAGACAAAAGCCAGAGTTATTTTCAATTATTATAAAATACGCACAATTAAATAGACATATATCTGTAGGGCCTCAAATAAAAACAATACATCAGTGATTGAAACTCTAAACAAAAAGATAAAAAGCTGTCAGCTGTACTCTTTCTTCTTTTTTTCCCTTATGGAACCTCCTCTAAAGATAACTACAGTTAAAAGTCCTGGCATTGAGTGAAAAACAAGATACATTTCAAGTATCAAATCTCTTGTACTTAAAGTACATACTCTCGTAACACATACTTATGCACTTTTGAAGTATATCTTTACGCAAGAACTTGAAAACAACATGGATTTTGCTTTACAGGACCTTGCCAATGTTGATTTCTTCAGAAAAGTCTTTATTTCACTACTTGATAGCTATAAACCGGATAAAGCAAAACGAAAAGAAAAAGCAAGAAGTCACAAGGAACTTATCAATAAGCATCGAGATACCTATTGTCAACTCGCCTCTTATGTTCCAATCAAACTGAAATATGCGCAACAAATAGGAAGCTATGAAGCTACGAAAATCCACATTGCATACATGAATGGCGTCGCTCTTCATTTCTGGAACAGATTGCGTATGTTTTTGAACCTACTGTTAAAGAAGCAGGAAAGAATTGGCGCTTTGAAAAGTGAAATGAAAAAGAAAAATTGCACAGAAAGCGAAATCTCTGCTGTGGTCAAAACCATAGCAAGCCAGTGCACCAAAGAAAAAATGAACATCTCTCTGAGGAACATCACTGAATTGCCAGCGCATCTTTTTAACTCACAAGAAGTCGGCATCCTTCAACAGTTTTTTTGATTGCTACCCTTCTGGCACTTCAAGAAGAATTCTATTTATTATGATTGTAAAGCGGACCCATCGAAGCATCTGAAGGCATTTTATTATCTGACGCAATGTTCTGAATCTCTCTACAATAAGCCGTTCAACTGCTTTCCTCTGAGAAGAACATTCATACCTAGTTATATGACTATAGACACATATATTGTAAACACTCAAATTTCAAGAAACTTTGTCATTAGCCACTTAGACAAAGAAGTAATTTAGGGAGCCGTACTGAACATGAAATCCAAAGCTATGAAGCCTCAAGGAGACAATAAACAAATGAAGTTTAGAGGTACTATTTACACAGATGGTGTTGCCGTATCCATCTTGAAGCAGACCTATGACAGCAAGAAGAAAGATTCTGGAGGCGGCATGCGAAATGATAAGAAGACAGAAGAAGACATTGCTTACATAGAAAGTCTGTCGTAAGAAAAACTTCAAGAAAGAACTTGCAAAAATAATTATGTTTTGATTGACCCCGGACGGCGTGATATGTTGTTCTGTATGCACGAAAGCAGTACCGTTGAAAAGAAAAGAACTTATCACTATACGAGAAATCAAAGGAACATTGAAACAAAAACAAGAAAGTTCATGAAACTTTGTGAAAGACTGAAACCAGAGGACGTAAGCAATGTAGAAGCAATTCTTTCACGTTTAAAGTCATCCACAGTCATAAAAGATCAATACGTAGAATATATAAGACAAAAATCTACCGTGATTCAAGTTCTTCAGGAATACTACTCGAATGAAGACTTGGCTTTAGAAGAACGTAATACTAATATGCTACCATTTCGAAAGCTAAAACTATCAAGCTACATTAATCGACAGCAATCTGACAAACGTCTTTGTAAGGATATCAGAAAACATTTTGGCAATAATGCTGTTATTGTTATTGGTAACTGGTCTGCAGGGAATGTCAAGTTCCATGAACCGATTAGAGAAGTTGGCATGAGAAGAATGCTTCAAAAAGAAGGTTTTCTGGTACACCTTATTGATGAATTCAAAACATCCAGTATATGCCCGGTATGTAAAGGTGATGTAGACACTTTCAAAGAAGTTGTGAATCCAAGGCCCTTTAGAAGGGAAAAATATCCAACCGTAAAACGTCATGGTCTTATAAGGTATAAAACTTTTAATTATGTTTAGTTTATTGATAACATTTGTGTGTCATCTAGGTGTAAAAATGAGCAATGATTGAAAGAAGGTCGTCGTCTTTGGAACAGGGACTTACTCGCCACCCTCAACTTTTGTGAGATTCTCTTTAGTTTACGTGACCACGGTGCAAGACCGATATATTTTCAAAGATCAGCCAAGCAAACACAAAAAAAGACAACAAAAAAGACAAAGATCTCTTTCTATTGAAAACGACAGCAGAAAAAGACAATAACAAATCCGAAGTAGTTATCGCTGCTTTCAATCCATGATACAGGGTGAGTTCATTATTTTAATTTTATTTTTCACTTCATCTGAAAACTAATTTCCATTTTGTTCAATTTCCTTTTTTGTTTTATCCAAAAAAGGTAAGCTAAAAGTCTGAAGATTAATTTTGATTCGTCTAGAAGAAACTAACATCGCCTGAATTTAAAGTGAAAATACTGTAGCCTACCTTCAGACAAATTAAAGAGTTTTTATGAAGTAGGCCAAGAGCCTTTTCCAAGTCAGTCTTTAGCATTGGACATTAAAAAGGCTAAGAAATACAAGTACAATTCAGAAAAGGCTGAGGAGAATGCCCTTTCTTTAATCCAAACATAAGGAGCAACCTCAAGTAAAGCATTTGAACTCTATAGTATCCTCAAGTTCATGGACTAAAGAATCCTAGAAGAGTCTAATGAATTTTTTATACAAAATAAATAAACAAATAAATAATCACGGCAATCTTACAACGTCAAAATTCTTTAGGAGCACAGTGATTTTTTGGGCCGCTATTTTTACGAAAATTCTTAGTGAATCTCACAAGCTCCTATGAAAATCTTTCCTGACCTAAAGGTTTTTCTTACTGAAATCTATAATCGTTTGTCACAGAAGTGTGATTTCTTTTTCAAAAAGCCAAGGAGTGTCTTGAAATAAGAAATTCACAGAGGGTGTTCAGCAACCGCTCAATTTAAGGGTGTTTTCTATTTGTAGGTAAAATTCTCGAGAGCAAGGTATGAAAGGCTTCTATCTTGTATTAAATAATTGCCATGTCCATTATTCTGAATTCATTGAAGATCTCGTTAGTATATGTGGATACAAGCTTTTGTTTTTGCTCCTTATTTCTCTTTTCTAAATCCAATTGAACATTGTTGGTTTAAGATCAAGCTGTACATCAGAAGAAACCCTCAGCAACAATCAAAGAGGCTACATCTGAAATCTCTCCTGATAATTTCAAGAGTTGAATTGAGTATTCAATCTTATACTGAGACAGATATTTAAATAGAGAACTTGATTTGGTCTAATATGAGATAGTTTCCTTTTAGTTTTTCGAAAGAATCGTATTGAAGAGTTGCTTTTTTCGAAGCAAGAGACCAATCGATTTTTCTCAAAAAAAAAAGGAAGGGGGTGAGTCTGTGACAATGAACCAACTGTGTCTTTCAAAACACATATTGCCGCTAATAAGACATCCTGTTCTGTGCTGAGTTCAATTTGCTCAAATCTGTTTCTGTGTGTTATTGTGTCCTGTGTATTTTGTGTTTGTGACCATCTTCATGTAACAGACTACAAGATATCTAAAATCAATTAGCCACTTATTTTCGTTTCTATCCCTTTACTTCATCTTTACCTTTTACAGACTTTATCTCTTTCTTCCATTATCATTATAACTATTTCTCAACATCAACATTTTGTTGGTAAATAAAATTTAACTAAAACTCAAACACATTAATCAAGCCTTTGATAAAAACGAATTAAGGTTTGACAGATTGTGACTTGGAGCTGTATCCAATCGCATCTAAGAATGGCCCATCAAATCTTGTGTAAGGATGGTGAGAAATCTAATTTTTTGTCCTTTCTATTTTTTTTTTATTTTCGACAGATGATACAGCCTACGAAAGAACACTTGGGTTCTTTAAAAACTCTTATTATTGACAACTACGACTCTTATACTTTCAATTTACTCCAACTTTTTGACGACTGTAACAACGTTGTCGTTGTCCGCAATAACCAGTTTACTTGGTAATTATTCTTACAATTTTGATGTAATGGCTCATAGAGAATGATGGGTTAGGCAAGAATTCACGACACATATCTTACCTCATTTCGATAATGTAATCATCTCTCCCGGCCCTGGTAGACCTGAAAATAGCCAAGTAAGTGCGATACACATAGCTGTCGAGTATTTAAGCTTTCCTCTAGGACTTTGGTATATGCACACAATTATTACAGGCACAGTTGGATCCTCAATTATCAGACTATCATCGGCCTATTTTTGGTGTTTGTCTAGGTCATCAGGGCATTGGCTATTTGTTAGGAGGAAAAGTGACTTATGCAAATCGAATCATGCATGGTCGAATGTCACATATCTATTTTCAGTCTAGAAATGCTGCTTATACAGATGTATTGCATGGCTGTCCATCTCCCTTTTGGGCAGTACGTTATCATTCACTTGTCGTGGATAAGGATTGTAATGATAGTTTATTTTGGAATGTGCATGATATTGATCGTTCTTTTTGTATCTGATAGCTATACCAGAGGACTTGTTAGTAACAGCTTACTGTTATGAAAATGACGCCGATGTCGAAGCACTCAAAAACAGTGTCTATTTGGCAGACAATCAAGTCTTGACACAGGGAGAAACCAAAAACCATTTCTTAAAGCACGACCAAGGGCAGCAGCAAGAGAATCAGGCACTAACGATTATGGCTTTTCAACATAAAAAACTGCCCTTATGGGGCGTTCAGTTTCATCCTGAATCTGTTTCAACAGAATACGGCTCAAACGTGATTTTAAATTTTCAAACGCAGACTTATGCATGGATGATTCAAGAGGTATGTTAGCATTGCTTTATGTGTATGCTTATTGTATTAGGGACATCGATCTCCGTCGAATGCGCCTCTGGACCTATCAATTCTGTCTTATTCTGCCGTCCATTCTGCTTCTAACCTACCTAAGCAAATCAAGAACCAGTCCACAAGCAAACTAGAGCTTTATATCAAACCTAGCTGCCCTAGCTGGATTGACCCCCAAGTACTTGCAGACGAACTCATTTCAGAGAATGCTCGAGGATCGCAGGAACAATACATGGGTTGGCTAGACAGCAGCCGCAAGTCATCTCCTTATTCTCGCATGTCTATTCTTAGCTTCAATCCAGCTGCTATCCTCACTTATTCGACACTGCATAAAGAATTACGGACAACCCAAAGGAACTCAACTATCACGACGACAACAGCTTTGGAAACCAACTTTTTTGATTACCTTTCCGATCTTTTGGATATGACACAAGTCGTTCCCAAGCATATCTTGGGTGGATCATTCTCTCCTTGTGAAATTATAGATGATTTAGACTTTCAAGGTGGTCTTGTGGGTTACTTGGGCTATGAAATGAAGCGTGAGAGTATGGAAGGATACAAAATACCCAAAGAGCAAGTGTGTCACTGCCAACATCACGGTCAAGATCATTGTTGTCTCTGCATTGAAGAACCGGATGCTGCTTTTCAATTCGTAGATCAATTCTTGGTATTTGACCAAATGCATCGCCAAATCTATCTGTGTTGTCTTGTAGGTCATCATCCATGGTTCAGTCGTGAACCCAGCGATGCCATTCACTGGATACAAAGCCAAGAACAAAAAATGCTTCAGATAGCTGAGTTGGGACGTAAGCGTAAATTGATGGATGATGCCATGCGTTGGGAATCCATGTCCTCACCTCGTACAACGCCCACACCTTCTGTTCAATTACCGATGGCTTCTCATCTGTTTACGCCTGATGTAGAGCATCAAGCATACCTCAAGTCCATTGAATCTTGCATTGACCATATCAAAGAAGGGGAATCGTATGAGATCTGTTTGACAACGCGGTTCCGCCTTGAACTTCCTAAACACATTTCAACACGAACAACCGATCCTGTACTATGGCGACTCTATACATATTATCTGCGTAAAAACAATCCTGCTCCCTTCTCTGCTCTACTCATGTTTCCTCAGTTGGGTCTACTCTCATCCAGTCCTGAACGGTTTCTTAGTGTGAGTAGAGATCAAGTGGCTGAAATGAAGCCTATCAAGGGTACAGTAGCCCGTGTGCTCGACTGTGTTTGTCCTGAAAATCAATGCGATCTGGGCGAAGCCTGTAAGTCAAGGCAATGGCAACAAGACGAGGAACGCAAGCAACAACTCTGGCAAGACGTCAAAGAACGAGCAGAAAACCTTATGATTGTGGATCTGATTCGTAATGATTTGGCTCAAGTGTGTGATCCTAACAGTGTCCGTGTGCCTAAATTAATGCATGTTGAGACCTATGAAAAAGTGCATCATTTAGTATCGACCATTCGAGGTCAATTGCGTTCACATGTGAATAGCGTAGAAGCCCTTCGAACATGTTTTCCTCCAGGGTCGATGACAGGTGCACCTAAATTACGGTCTGTGCAAATCTTGGATCGATTAGAGGCCCATCGTCCCCGAGGTGTTTATTCAGGCTGTCTGGGGTATTTCTCTCTGAATGGCAGTGCTGATTTTAATGTGGTGATAAGAACTGCGGTTGTGTCTACGAGATCAGATAATTCAACACATGTGTCTGTGGGTGGTGGTGGTGCTATTACTTTTTTGTCTAATCCTGAACAAGAATGGAAGGAGACACTGCTGAAGACAAAGAGTGTCGCTCCTAGGTAAGTGTACATATTTGTTAGTATCCATAAGACTAAAATGACAATAGTGTAAAAGAGTTTCTTGAAGATCAGTTATAGTTTTATTTAATTCATGTAATAACCATTTGTGGGTGAATATTGTTGTTGGGGATAATAATATCTATATTGTTGAGGTGGTGGCGGTGGATAGTCATAGCGAGGATCAATCATTCTTTGCCTTCTTCTTGATCCTTTTCTTTGTAAATAATAGTGGTGTTGATGTTCATCATGTATATTACCATAAGATTTTCTACGTGGTCTGAGTCGATAATAGTCTGCTGCTTGCTGTGGTTCATCTTGATAATAATAAGCTTGAGAAGGCATAAAGCGTGCATGATCATATATAATGGGTGGTGGCGGATAATAAGGATAATAAGCTTCCTCCTCCTCCTCTTCCTCTTCTTCAGGATTATTTGTATATGTCTGAAATTTTGATTGACTATGTCTTCTACGCAGTGGATAGGATTGAGGTTCTGAAGTAGATGCTGTAGGTTGTGGTGTGCCTTCTATTTGAAGTGACTGCAACATGTCTGCTAATTCATATAGTTTAGAAACCATCATTTCTTTAATTTCATCTCGGTTTTGAGGTGATTTTTCTTTTCCCTTAGTAAGCGAAGGCTTCTTTTTTAAGATAGGTGGGGGTTTTTCAAACACATGAATTTGTCGAGTAGGTTTAGGTTCTTTAATAGTTAAATGTGCATTTGTAGCAATAGTTGGTTTATGTTCAGTGTTATTCAAAGCAGTGATTGGCATAGGTCCTGTGTCCACATAACCAATCTTATCTTGAATATCAATGATATCAGGCTCATTTTGCTTTAAGGTAGACATGTTAAAGAAAGAAAGAAAAAGAAAAAGAGACTCTGTGCATCTTATTTGTGGATCACAAGGTATTCGAAATCAAGTGACATTATATTTTTTTTCTTTTTTATTCTTTTTTTTTCGCTATGTCTCTTCAGAATCTTTATATTGCCCGTCTTACGACCCAAGAAAGACCTTGTTTTGTGTGTAGTAAATTTACCAACGTCGTATTGACTTCAGCAGACAATAGCAATTCAGATTGGTTTTATGTCTGTAAAACGCATCTCGGAGACACCAACTTTTGTTCGAAACTCGGGGGTCCAAAACAAACACTCGTAAAGAATGAAGTCGCTTTAAAAAAAGAAGCTGCTTTGGCTAACAGGAAACCAGAAAGTGACAGTGTTACTGACCTAGTATCGAGTATTGGCTCAGCATGGAAGTCCTGGAGAAACAGCAATAGCCATGAACAAGACAAGAAAGAAAAGGACGCGAAGGAAGAACAAAAGGAAGCAAAGGAAGAACAAAAGGAGGACAAGAAAGAATCACCGAGTTTGACACCACCCACAAGTCCAACAAGTTCAAGCCCTCAACAGCCTGTTCGATTTGTCATTCAGCGTGATTATTTCTATTTACGTCAACGAGAATATCAAAAGAAACAACAAAAGAAAGAAGCTTCACAGAAACTAAAGACATTACAGTTTCCTGAAGTGCCAAAATCAATGCCTACCATACAAAAGTAAATCTTAATTTCGTAATACATATTTATTTCAAAGGATGATGTTGCATTGACATAATGCCAATGATTTTTTTTTTGTTGTTAAGAAAAATGTCTATTATTTATTGAGCAAACAATGTGGTGGCCAATGACTCAACTAATCATCCGTTAATCATAATAAACTGTCTATGTGTTTACTTACACCATGGAAAATTGCCTTTTTTACCCAATATCATTAAACTGATGGATATGAATTCATTGGTACGATGAAAATCCTTTTCAATGATATTCATGGTATGGTCTATATCTTGTTCACTGTTTGTCTGTATGTGTTCTTCAAACAAGTACTTCATTTGTTCAGCCATATCAAATATACTTGCAATGGACTTCTTAATTGAAATAGCCTGTCGATTCAAATAAGTAAATGTATTGTGGGGGTTATTCACATTACCTTGTCATTCAATAAACAACGATCAACAATACGTTGCACTAATGAATTGTGTAAGGCAGTGATTTCATCTGCATCTTTTGAAATAGACAGCTTGTCTCTAAAATTGATGGTCTCTGCATGAAGAATCTATAGAAATAAGCTACAAAAAACTATCTTGCTATATATTTACTGTTGTCATCATGTATCGCCAAAAAGCATTGATAAACCACAAGATTCTCATTCGAAGTGAATAGAATTTCATGGCACGAACATTGCTTTTCTCAAGTGTAGATCTCTTGTTGAAGAACGTCTTTTTTTCCATCACATATTTGGCCCGTTTGAGTCGTAATAAAAAGCCCAGAATCTTTGAATAGCTTGGTATAAGGTTCTTTTGAATAAAATTGTTCAAGGGCCAAGGTATCTAATACAAGTCTTGAGTCTATTCTTTCTTCAAACATTTCCAATATGTTTACCTCCACTTTGAACTCCAGTAACTCCAAAGAGGATGCCTGTGTGACTAATCCTTCTGCTGATTCCCTAATACCAATATACACAATTTCATCATATCCACTTGTTTCACAGGCATTGGCAAATGTTTGATTCAATAAACGAGGATTCAGCCAGAACTCCTTTTGATCCATTTGTCTAAATAGAGCCTCACAAAAGGAATGCATTAAATCATTTTCGAGCATAAGATAGATAGAGAACAAGGAAGCCATTTGATCGAGTAATTGACACTTTTCATACAGCAAAACATCAAGTGCTTTGGCTGCTTCTGTATAGGGTATGTCAATGTATGTCTCCAAGCAAGAAAGAAAGCTTTGGTCAAATAGTAGGTTCATGTTGTCTATTGTGTCTGGTTCTCTGGATGGTGTGTTGAACGTAACCAACGGAAAGAAAGCAGCCACAAGAGACGATACAGGTTCTGATTGTCTTTGAGTGGAGACAGGTTGAATAAAGAATGACTTGGTTGGGATAAACTGATGCATGACTTGCTCAAAATGAACTCCCTAAACACATCAGCAATGTAGATGTAGTCTATTTTTCTGTTACCTTTGACTTTTGATTGTGTGATAAAAGGTTCATGGCTTTACCAGCAAACAACACACGGGCCATCACTCGTTCATCAAATAAAGGACAGGGATAGCATTTTTCATGAGCAACAGACTCCATCACAAACCCATTCAGCCAAAAGTTAGAATCATGCTTAGACACAGCATCATTTCTTGTCACATAAAATTCCCTTGCTCTATCTGCCATCAAAGATCCAAAGAACACCCAGTCATCCATCATATGTCCATAAGGAACAAGAGTCTTTTGCAAGACATATAGCAGTGTATGATAGATGGATTCTTGTCCCGTTATGTGGGATATCATTGTACGCTCATAAAGAATAGAAATAAGAAAAATAGCAATACACTTTGGAGTCTTTTCGAATGGCATGTCAGCTGCGATTCTGTACACAGCTTTCAGACTTTCAAGAGACTCACTCAGTTGCTTGCGTAGCTGGAGTAGAGAGATAACCAATGTATTGTCTTGTGTAATAAAACTGGTGTTGGATTCTAGTGTTGCCAAGAAGCCATCAAACTCGGCCAGCAATTGATGAACAACGGAAACAAAGGCTTCCATTGTTTGGCCATCCTTGGGTGATGAGTGCATGAGTTGCTGCCTTAATTTAAGCAGCATGTTGCCATAGACATTGAATTCGTTTAGTATGGAACTTAAAGCATGTTGACTAAGATGCTGTACCATGTATTGCTCATTCAGCTAAGGATAGTTAGGTTCATTCTTTCTCGATTTGTCTGTTTACCAAGAACTGATCATCTTCTTTCACAAACAAGATACCACCAAATCCTCTAAGTAAAGACAAGACTTCTCTAATAACACCTGCTTCTGTTATTGTCTTTTTCTGATCTTGACCTGTTTGATGTTGCCAGAGCTTCATAAGTGTATCACTCATTTGACATGCATTTTGAAGCAATGTATCCTCGAGTAGAGTTTCTTTTGGCAGATTAAAATCGTCTCTCCAATACTGTTGCCTCTCAAGATAACGGAGTCCATCCTGATCTGACCGAGTGTCCATATCCATTCGATTTGTATAATTCAAAGGCTCAATATCCAACATACCTGTGTCCTTCTTTTGGTGTTGTGTTTGTGTCTGATCCTCATCGTAGTCGGATAGATTGCCATCGCTGGATGTGTCTTCAGGCCATTGATTCCAATGGTCTCCCTCTAAAGGATCATTGTCCACCACTTCTTTCCAAGTAAGTGGCTTTTTTTGTAAGATGCGTTGTAACTTTGGCTTGTAATTGTAGTCTTGATTTAGAGAAGAAGAGAGTGAGAGCAACAGACGCAGCATATCATATTTTAGAATAGATTGCTAAGATAGAGTTCAATATGCCTGAATACAGTTATAAAATCGATTACATTTGTTTCGTGAAATCCAATAGGCCTTGAAGGCTGTAAAAATTCTGCTTTGTATTGTTCAACTGCTCGAGATAGTTCTTGGTGGCCTTTGATGCTCAACTTTTCTGCTATTCTATAAAAATTGAGCGAGCTTATTTCTTTTTATGGAGGCTACCCTTTGTATTTATCATTCACATCTTGTTGACTTGTACTTGCGCACTTGTGATGTTGTAATGAAGTCTTTGTTTTCTGTATTACTTTATTGGATTCAATAGCATTCTAACACTAGATTAAGAAAAGAAATCAAGCGATCATTTGCTTACTTGAATTTCAGTGATCTTTTTTACAAGGCGACTAACAAGTTCGTCTTCACTCTGAAATATAGACATAGAAAAGGAATAAAAACTTTAGTTTGCGGATTTTATTTTTGCCCTGATGTTTGTGTACGAGTTCTGTATTTAAACTACGCATCATGGAATTTCTTCCACTGTTCGTCTTTTTAACAAACTTTAAATGTTTATATAAGCTCTAAGCAACATTTCTAGATCATCCGGACGTTTAGTACTGCGATTTCTAGTTATATTTCTATATGAATGGGTCTTTATAGAAAATGGCTGTTAGTAACAATGTTTAGAATTGTTGTAAATGCTTCATTATAGTTTGGTTTTTATCTTTGTAAGCTAACAATCCGTTTGTCTGTGCATAAGAACGAATTCAGCATTGTCTTGAGGATTTGACTAGCATACAATAGCTCTTCAAAATGATCTACCTTATTTCTCTTGTCAGTCTGAATCGTCTTGAAGACATATCAGCAAGGAACATAACACTGTTTTTTTTGCATAATGCCTTAAAATTGCTCTTTGAATATTGTGTCGGACATTCGATAGTCTTCTGTATTGTATTTTTCAGCAATTAAGAGACAGTCTCAGAGAAAATAAGAGTGTGATATAATCACTAATAAAATGGTCAAAAGAAGTCTGCTTTATTAAAGGTTATATTTTGTATTGTATTTATACTGTTTGTATGATAATTGATTATCCTTGATTTGGGACTGAGTGTGTATACACTAGCTAATCGGTTGAGTGGATTAAGGTACACAAGAACTGGATACATGATCAGGGCACAGACCTCGTCTACCATTGGTATTGATGAAGATGTCAATTTGTGATTATGTGATGGTCTGATCTTTAACATGTTTAAACTAAGATAGAAGACATCCATCGAAGCTGCGGATAAAACTGTGATTGAAAGATATATTTATACATGATATTAATACTTGCTCTTTTAAGGCATAACTAGTGTAAGAAGGGATGGATAATGCTGTGTATACAACAAACAGAGAAAAGTACTCCTACAATGGGATAAGATGCCTGACTTCTGTCGTAACTGTCAGAGCTCAGAACATTATCCCGACTACAAGAAATGGGTACGCTGCTACCATTGCAATGAGACTGGCCATGTTATGCGTAACTGCAGTCGTAATGGATCAATCGACTCCTCTCCCAGCAAGGTCCGTGCAGTGGAGAGATCCTCAAGTCAGCCAAAACCTAGAAAAGGGACAAACAAAGATTCTACTGCCTCACCCAAGGCTGCTCCTAAGAAACCAATGACACAAGAAAATTCCCCTGCTGGCTCTCCAGTTCCTCAAGATTACAAGAATAATGAAAGAGATGCAACGGTTGCTCTCAATGGTAAAAACGGTGTTGAAGAGGACACCACTATGAATGAAAGCAACCTTAATCCGGTAAATGATTCTGATGCGGTAAAGACTATCTCAAAAGACATTGTTGTGATGATCTGACATTAAATAAGTCTTCAATTACATACTAAAATATATCATAATCAATTTACATTAGAAATAGACATAAAAAAACCTCTTGTACTAAATAAGACAATGTATCTTTTAATAGACCAAGACGTATAACCGAATTCCATAATTTACATTATTTAATTAATTTAAAGTAGTCTATGATAATAGAGACTCAGTCATTTGCATGAACTCTACTACTACTTACTCCGACATCTCTTCATGTATAAATATGCTAGAATAATTTATAGTCAAAAAGAAAAACAATAAAATTGTATAAGACAGTCTCAAAGTATCTACCTTTGTCTCTACATTATCTTATCATACAACTCTCTATTATCAAAACATCACATATATCAAATACAATGAGACCCATTTGTAAATGATGTTTAACACAACTGAAATAAGGTCTACTAGCTAAGGGCAATAGTTTAGGGCTCACATGTGTCGGAGATCGAATTACCTAGATGCACCTTACCTTTGAAAGCCAATAACTTCTTGGGAAGTATTCGCAAATTGATTTGGCGAAAATCCTACTATAAGATGTTGATATTTTCTACTTATGTACTTAATCTCATCTTATTTGCAAAAAAAAATCGACTCAATATATATTTTCTGTTAGTCAGGGGATCTTTTTGTTTTCTTGGCACGAACTCTAGTCATAAAAGTAAGAGGGATCATTTCAGGGAAGAGGATAAATCTCTTGTCCAGTGAAACCAAGCTAAATAAACGAGTAGCAGCCTTCAAGTGTTCATAAACTCTGTTCAAGCTCAACTTATTGAAGATTATCTGGAAATTCTTTGGTTTGATATCAGGGTGATGTTCTTTGCAAGCTTCATAGATGATAGCTACATAGCAGAAGTAAAGGTTCTTGTGCATGCTTGCCAATTGCTTTGCTTCAATCATATCCGATATCTTTATCTCTATCTGCCTCAAGAACTCGATGAAGTCTTTACAAACAGGCTTGCCCACGTTGATAACCAGTTCTATATCTTTGAGGTAATTACTTCTTTTTATAGCTAATGCGTTCTTCTTCTGATGATCCATATTCATGACTAAGTGGTTTTGAATAGGTAGATAATTCAAGAATAAATGACTTACATTCAATGATGAAGCTCTTGACCCTTACAGGTAAGGATTCGAATACCTTGAGCAATTCTGATTTTTTACTTAAGAGTTGTCTGTTAAAGCCCAATACTTCATTAGCAGCAGTACTTGATGAACTTGGATTATTGTCATCTTCAAAGTGCACTCGTTTTGTTTTCTTCTTTGGTGGTGCTCTGGCTTCTTCTCTTTGACCCTCTTCTTTGTCTTCTCCTTGGCTTTCTTCTAGCTCTGTTGTATACACAGCATTATTCATCCCTTCTTACACTAGTTATGCCTTAAAAGAGCAAGTATTAATATCATGTATAAATATATCTTTCAATCACAGTTTTATCCGTAGCTTCGATGGATGTCTTCTATCTTAGTTTAAACATGTTAAAGATCAGACCATCACATAATCACAAATTGACATCTTCATCAATACCAATGGTAGACGAGGTCTGTGCCCTGATCATGTATCCAGTTCTTGTGTACCTTAATCCACTCAACCGATTAGCTAGTGTATACACACTCAGTCCCAAATCAAGGATAATCAATTATCATACAAACAGTATAAATACAATACAAAATATAACCTTTAATAAAGCAGACTTCTTTTGGCCGTTTTGGTTCTAATCGACTTATTGATTTGACCATTTTATTAGTGATTATATCACACCATTGCAATTGCCATAGATGTGATCTGGTTTTTTGCCATGATCATCATTTATTGATCTATGCATATGAATTCATATATGTTCACAACACTCTCGTTTGCGGTATTTATTGGATGAAAATTATATATATATGCTGAATAAACCAGCAAAAATTAGTGTCGCATGTGTAGACAAAAATAGTTTACCAATGGGAGTCAAACCCATGACCTTTTCTAATGAGCAGCAAATTTATACCACTAGACCAACGTCCAAACTTTACTCTGTTCAGTAAATATCTTCTTAACCTTTGTGTGCACTAATATGGGTCACGTGACAATAAACTACTCTCTAGCCAATGATATTACCGGGAAAATATTCCAAAAGGTAGTGACATCTGTGTTGTGATAGGGTAAGTACAAGATAAATAGATTACATGTATCGGAGATTGAAGTTTCTAGGTACACCCTAACTTTGAGAGCCAATTACTTTTCTGGAAGTACTCGCAAATTGATTTGCTAAAAACTGTACAATAAGATCTTGGTATTTTCTATCTGGATACCAGACCTCATCCTATTCGCACAAAAAATTTTGGTTCTGTATGTGTATTACTTTTTGCAGTTATTAGTGACAATTTGAAAGGTACCAAGTGTCGCGCCTCACTCGCGCGATCTGTGGATGATAATAAAGAGCAAACAAAATTGTTTATAAGGCAATTTGATAGTAAAATACAGGCGACAAACAATTTAGTAAACGAATATGTTGCTCAGTCCAAAATCATCTACCCAACAAGAAAGAGAGTAACAGGAAAACAGGTGGACCTTGGTCCTATCTATGCAGAAGAAAGACTGGATAGAGGTGTTCAAATCGAGAG